GAAACATCAGTGATGAGAGAGTATCATTGATGGGCTGCCTCCTGCGCGTTCCACACGGGGGGTCAAGCCGGCAACCGGAGTATGTGCCGGCTTGCTTGATCAGGAATCGAACCGTGACCTCCTGGTTCATCGGTTGATGCTCAACCACTGAGCCACACCCGGCCGGGCTCAGCACCTTTTTGATTAAACTAGTGACACCTATACTCACTGGACCAGTGGTCACAAATGCAGATCGACTGCGTTTTTCCTCTGCTGGGTCCTTCACCCAGTTCTTCCCAAGTGAGTTCTGCCTGCTCAGCACAGAGCAGAAGGGAGAGGGGCTGACTGCTTCCTCCAGGCCCTCGGTCTCCCTGGGAGACGATCAAAGCTGGAGACCCGACTGGGGCAAGAACACAGGCTCCAGGAACATGAGCTTCCCCCAGGGGAAGTTTTGCTCTGCAAGCAACAGGGTCTCCCAGCGTTAGTGGGACATTTCGGGCCCATGATCCTTTGTTGTGGGAGCTGTCCTGTGTGCTGTAGGGTGGTTATTAGCATCCCTGGCCTCCACCGACTTGGTACCAGTGGCGCCCCTGAGTGTGACAACCAAAATGTCTCCGGGATCCACTGGCATGTGACTGCAAGAGCGTGAAGAGGCCCAGGGTGCCCCTAGCTTTTTGCTGGCTGGCTTTCGTGTTAAATACTCTGAGCTGAATTACACCTTGAACCGGGCAGTCACCCCCTCTTCTTGGGGCTCCCACTTTCTCATCTGGAAGATGAACGGGTTTGGACACCATGACCTCAGAGCCTTCTAGGCCGGGCAGTGGAGGGTGTGGAGAGCACAAGGTCCCTGTGGCACTTCGTAGTCAAGTCACCAGCCCCTCTGAGCCCCACCCGTAAAACGGGTTAACAGTCCCTAACTCATAGGTTGGCCGAGATCATTGGATGAGAAGGAGCTGGTCGAGGGCCTAGCGTCAGCCAGGCGTGCACTAGATGTGCAGTCAGCACCCTCTCCCCTCCCCCATTCTCCGTGCCCTTTCTTCCACATTCTTTTGACAGTGAGTGGCCACAGCTAATCTCATCACTGCATCACCACACTGAGGGGCTGACTAATATGAGCCAAGGAGGACGGCTCACTTCCCCGTCTGTCACATGCCTAGGTTCTCACCATCTTCCCTGTGGCCCATTTTCTTAGTGACATTCACTGCTGACTCACTTGGCTTGTGGTCAGCTCTGAACCCAGGGTCTTTTTCAGCTCTCCCTTTACCGTACCACCGCTCCCCAGCTCGGGTTTTGTAGCGTGGGAATGGGGTCATTATTAGAGAACATTCTGTACAGGTGGCCCTAAACAGGGAGCCAAAGCCATTGGTAGACTGTCAGCTCCATGGGGGCAGGGTCCGTGTCTACCTTGACCTCTTTCGTTTTCCCACCAACAAGGACACTGCAGTAAAGATCTGTTGAATGAATTACTGTATTTTGAACTGGCCCCTATCTTCCAGGAGGCTCCCACTTGCTCTGAGGCAGCATCTTTGGAAAAGCAAATAAACGAAACCTTAGACTTTAATTTACCAACAGTTGAGCTCTGAACGGATTCCCGCAGGCCCAGGGGAGTGGAAGGACCATGGCCTCTGGGCTTAGTTAGACTTGGGTTGGAATCCTGGCTTTACTAATCCTGGGCTTGGTGACTTGGAGCAAGTTGCTTCTGGCTAAACTTTGTCTTCTCCCTGGAAAAATGGGGTAGCAGTGTGTGCCAGGCTACTGTGAACACTGAAGTTAGATATATATGTGAGGGAGCCTCGTGCCAGAGCCGCATCCCTCGCTCTGTCCGGAGCACACCCCTTTGATTGCTGTTGCCCCCTGTAGTTTGGTCTAGGTCAGTGGTCGGCAAACTCACTAGTCAACAGAGCCAAATATCAACAGTACAACGATTGGAATTTCTTTTGAGAGCCAAATTTTTTAAACTTAAACTATATAGGTAGGTACACTGTTATTAACTTAATTAGGGTTAAGGCTTAGGAAGAGCCACACTCAAGGGGCCAAAGAGCCGCATGTGGCTCGCGAGCCGCAGTTTGCCGACCACGGGTCTAGGTCAGCAGTTTTCAATCTGTGGGTCGTGACCCCTTTGGGGGTCGAACGACCCTTTCACAGGGGTCGCCTAAGACCATCGGAAAACACATATATAATTACATATTGTTTTTGTGATTAATCACTATGCTTTAATTATGTTCAACTTGTAACAATAAAAATACATCCTGCATGTCAGATTTTTACATTACGATGCATAACAGTAGCAAAATTACAGTTATGAAGTAGCAACGAAAATAATTTCATGGTTGGGGGTCACCACAACACGAGGAACTGTATTAAAGGGTCGCGGCATTAGGAAGGTTGAGAAACACTGGTCTAGGTCTAACCTCCTCTCTTAGACCTTTGTTCACCCAGCCTTCCTCCCCCTTCCACTTCCAACAAAGACATACTCTACCAAACACCAGGCTCACCCGGCAAACGTGTGTGAAGCCAGCTCTTCAAGGTCAGATGCCTACAGTTTCCAATTCAAATCCCATCGGTTGCCCCACTGATGCCCCTTTTCCGACTCGGGACATCATCCCCCGTGATTGTCACGTCTCTGTCCCCTCCTCCAACCTCTGATAGTTCCTTAGTCTTAACTCCTGACCCTCCTGACCTTGCTGTTTTGACACGTGCTGACCCGTCATTTTGTCAGCCGCCCCTCCGTTTGGATTTGTTTGTGTTTTCTCGTGATTCATTCGAGGTGGTGCCTTTGGAGCAAGATCTCCTCAGGAGTGATGGTGCGGGGGACCATGACGTGTCTCCTACTGGTGACACTCTGTCACTTGGTTACTATGATGTCAGCCAAGTTTCTCCACAGTCAGGCTACATGAACACTTTCTCCTTTTGTAGTTAGCAAGGATTTGTGGGGCGGTGCTTGGAAGGCGCGTAAATGTCCCATTCCTCCTCAACCTTTTGGTGGATTCATGTTTTTGTATCTATATAGAGTCTGGGCTTCCTGCCTTACCCAGTGGGTTATGGTCTCTTACTGCGGCCATGGGCTTTGGTGTTCTCGCTGTCCTCTCTCTGGCCAGTGGCAGCCCCTCTAAGCTGGCTTCTAGTCCTGTGATGTCCCCATCATTCCTTGGCCACTTTCTTGCTTCCTTACATAAGGGGATGCTCCAAGTTCATCGTGTGTTTCCCCTGCCCAGCCCTAGAATGAGCCATTTCTCCAAGAAGCTGGTGTCTTTGAGTAAAGGATGGCATTACAAGCCAGTATTTCAGTGCCAGAGGCGTCCATTGCGCTCTGGCTGTCAGTTCCTGGGCCCTCTCTATGGAACGAGCTGGGACATACAGGTGCATGTGACATGTATACATCCACATGGCGATGTCTGTATTGTGTCTGTTGAAAACCACGAATTCACAGCGACCCCTCCATCTCCACGCTCCTGCCACAGGGCTTTCCTGCCTTTCTCTCTCTCCGTACCTCCCGACGGTGAGGCCCCGGCCCCCGTCATCGCACAGTGTTCACTTAATCAGTCCCCTGTGTGCAACACCCTCCATCCCTCCCTCCTCACCCTCTCCCGGTTCTGATACTCTGCCCTGGGCCACCCCCACCTTGTCACCCTGAGCAGCTCCACTTCTGTGAAACTCCCAGTTTTGAGATGATGGTTCATATGTTTTTTATATTCATTCATTCATTTGTTTGTTTATTTATCTTCATTGATTTCAGAGAGGAAGGAAGAGGGAGAGAGAGAGAGAAACATCAATGATGAGAGAGAATCATTGATTGGCTGCCTCCTGCATGCCCCCTACTGGGGATCGAGCCTGCAACCCAGGCATGTGCCCTTGAGTGGGAATCTAACTGTGACCTCCTGGTTCATAGATCGACACCCAACCATATAGCTGGGTGGTTCTTATGTTTTTAAACTGTGAGGCCCAGATTCGGCCTGTGGGCCCTGGATGGTGACTGGTATTCACTGGGCCAGGAAGCTGCTGTAAGGGCCTCCCACCTCCCACGGACACTCCCTCCCTTCCCTGTACCACGTGCAAATGAAGGAAGCCTCCAGCACCGTGCGATTGACCCTGCGCGTGGCCTCTGCTGTTGCTGTTCTCATTATCCGGGCTCCTCTTTGTCAGCACCCACCTTCCTCCCGTCGTCCTGCCCGCTCAGACATCACCTCCTGTAGGAAGCTTCCAGATTCCCTGGGTGACCCCACGCTGACCCCATGCTGAAGCACCACCCGCTTCTCCTTGTGTTTCCTTTGTCTCTGCTGCAAATCCACAGGCACATGGGGCCCATTTTATCTCCATGTCCCAGTGCCTGAAAGAGGGCCCAGCACATAGTAGGTGCTCATAAATGTCACTCAAATGAGCATCAATAATAGTAACAGCAGTACTCAAATAGCACTTCCTGGGCCCCCGGCCGGTTCTAAGTGTTTTAGGTGCTCCCATGCCTCTGGTCCCAGTCTGTGAGATGTTAGGATTGTTGCTCCATTTTACAGATGGCGGGACAGGGAGGTTAAGTGAGTGACGTGGCCCAGGTCACACAGTGGCAGTCACATTGGAACCCCGACAGGTGGACCCTGCAGCACCTGCTCTTACCTCTCACGTGCCTCTCACGGGAAAGGGGAGAGCGTTGTCAGCATAAGGGAGGGGAGTAGGTATGGGTGGTTGAGTCACACGGTCCCCACCCCTCACACACACTCCCAGCCCCAGTTTCTAGCGCCCTTAGGGGCCCTGGCACCCGGCTGAGCAGGTAGGAAAGAAAGTGGTGCCCTTTAATTTGGCAGCCGACAGGAACTGTTCCTCCCCTGAGGTCTTAGGACACCAGGTCCACGTGCTGGTAGAGTGAGCACACAGGAGCAGCTATCAGATCTTACGCAAGACCCGTAAGTCATTGCGTTGGGTTAGCAGGGCGCCAACTCTCCCGGTCCCTGACGGGGCACCCACGCCAGCCGTCACCCAGCAGGGCCAGAGCAGCGGCTCTTGACCAAGCCGGGCTCTAACCAGAGAGCCTGTGGGCTTAGAGCTCCATCGGTAGAACGCGGTGTGCGAGAGCCGTCTGCCCAGGGTCCTGTGCGAGGAGGAAGCCAGGTGCGTGAGGAGCCTCCTGTGAAGGCTCCGTGTCACACCTGCCCAACACTTATGTCCCTCACTCCTCTCGATCGCCTGGCGGGTCTGGTCGTAGGAGCCCCATTTTTACTGAGGAAACTGAGGCTCAGAGAGGGGAACTTACTTTCCTAAAGTCACACAGCCATGATTTGAACCCAGGGGAAAAAGAACAGCCATGATTTGAACCCAGGGCAGCTGACTTGGGGCCTTATGTCTTGAACAGTGGGCCAGATTTAAACCCAAGAAGCCTGTCTGAGGCCCAGACCCCAAATCCCTCCGCCCACAACCCTGTCTACGCTGATGGGATCCCTGAGAAAGGAAGGCGCCCGCTCTGTGCCTGGGGCTGAAACCCACAGGAAACAGCCAAAGCCGGGCTGAGGCTGAGACCGGGCCCCGGGCCCCGGGCAGGGCTTATGTTGGACTGAAGAGGAATCTCTGAAGTCCTAGTCAGTGTGGCTCTTTGGCCCTCGGACTGAAGGGTCCCGGGTTCCATTCCGATCAAGTGCATGTACCTCAGTTGCAGGCTCGATCCCTGGCCCTGGTTGGGGTGCATGCGGGAGGCAACCAATCGATGTGTCTCTCTCTGTCTCTCCCCCTCCCTTCCATGCTCTCTAAAAATCAATGGAAAAATATCCTCGGGTGAGGATTAACAACAACAACAAAGAATCTAAGAATCAAAGAAGCGGGTACAGGGACCATGGAAGCAGGGGGTGGAAACCGGAGGGTGAGGGGGAGAGGTGACGCCGTAGCATCCTGTTCCCTTTAACGTCAGAGAAGCCCTTTGGGGTTCAGTTCATTCCTGTTGAGTGCCTACTATGTGCCAGGCCCAAGCTAGGGTCTGGGGATGTGGTAGGGGTGACAGGACCTCACCAGGTCCCTGCCCTCATGAGGGCGACATTCTGATGGGAAAGACCAACCAAGAAACATAACCAGCCCGGCTGGCATGGCTCAGTGGTTGAGCGTTAACACCTGTCAACTGGAAGGTCATGGTTTGATTCCTGGTCAGGGCACATGCCCAGGTTGCAGGCTTACCCCCCAGTCTGGGATCTTGCAGGAGGCAGCCAATCAACGATTCTCTCTCATCATTGATGTTTCTCTCTTCCTCTCCCTTCCCCTCTGAAATCAATAAAAATATATATATTTTAAAAAGAAACATAACCAAATGTGGGTCAAGGTCCTCTCAGGTGCCAACATGTGTCCTGAGGAAGCAAGACAAGCATAAGGGCAGTGTGGGGGCCTGGGGCCCATCAGACGGGGTGTCCTGCAGGCTCCTGGCGGAGCTGGTCCTGGGAGAGCCGAGGTTAGCCGAGCCATGGGACACGCCAGCCACACCACGGCCCCTGCTGCCCGAGACCAGCTCTCTGTGCCCGTCTCACCCCATCCCCTTGGCTCTCCGCAGGTTTGACATCTACAGGAAGGTGCCCAAGGACCTTACGCAGCCGACATACACCGGGGCCATCAGTGAGTAGCCCTTCGCACCCTCCCCCCCTCCCC